CCTTCACACCAAAGAGCTCTAAGTATTAAGTTCTGTGGCACTTAAGTAGAAAAATGCTCTTTTCTTTCTTTTCCATTATACAGCTCTTTGCAGGTGGTTCAGATGGATCTGTCAAGCTCAATCATACCAACGTTGGCTCTGGAAGACATCATCTGTCGCTGCAGACTGCTAGAATGTCTGAGCCTGGAGGGTCTGCAGCTCTCTGACACCATCATCAGGTGAGATCTGAACCATTTGCTACTGATTAGAGCAGCAGGGATGTCACTGATTCCCAGGGTCTTTGCAGCTGCTTTTCTCTTATCAAAAATATGTCTGAGCTTTTCCTGACTTCAGCTGTCCAGGGAAACATGCCTTTGTCTGAAAAGTCAGTGATGCTGTTTGTAGTAGAGCCTCATCAGAGATGGAAAAGTCGTGCTGTGACTGTTGATTGTAAACTGGCAAAACACTAAATTCCTCTCAGTAAATGCATTTTCTGAATGTGTTTGAGCCTTAAATCTGTACTGTGTGTTTGTTAATCTCTTTTACTCAGCTGTCTGGCAAAGAACACCCGCCTACAGGAGCTCAACCTCAGCGGCTGCTCTGCCTTCTCCGCTCCTGTGCTCACTAGGATGCTTAAATCCTGTTCCCGGTCAGCTGCTCAGTCCTTATTTACTTTGTAACCACAGTTTCAGTTTCTCCTCTGCCTCAGATTTACTAATGCAATTATTTTGTGTTTCAGTATACAACAGCTGAACTTATCATGGTGCACCTTTGATAATAATCACATAAAGAGCGTGGTTGATAATCTGAGTTCCAGGGTTACACATCTCAACCTCAGCGGTTACAGAGAGAGCCTCACCCTAAATGGTGAGTGGTGGAGATCTTCAAGTCACTGATTTCAACACTAACAAACACAGCTGGTTTGTCCTGAATGATGTAACACTGAACAAGCTGCATAATGATACAGTAATTTGATTCACTTGACAGCTTGAAGGGTAACACTGAGGGTGCTGAAGTGAAATCACTGTAGTTTGTGAAAACTATATATAGATCGATCTAGATCTTAAAGATTGTTTGAGTTGCATCATTCTGACGTGTGTCTGTGTTATTTCTCATTTTTAGATGTGAAGGTGTTGGTGGAAAAATGCCCCCAGATTAAAACTCTAGATTTGAGGTAAAAGTTTAGTCATTGTTCTATGTTTGGTATTTAACTGTGGGGTTTTTCTTTAAGTTGTCTCGTTTTATTTGCTATTGCAAATTAAATTGTCATGGATGGAAAAATGTCTTTACTGTGGCCACAGATGACTGCAGCTTAAAATCTGTTTCTGTGTCGCAGTGATAGCACTCTGCTGACAGCTGACTGCTTACCTGTCCTCAGTCAACTCAAGCACCTGCTGCATCTGTCCCTGAGCCGCTGTTATCACATTCACCTTGCTGCTCTCACGTAAGTTTTTGTCCGCCTCCCACCTCCATCCATGTAACTGCTAGTTAGTGTGTCCCATCTGATCGGATCTTCTAGCTTATTTATTTATTTGCCACAGGTATGTAGATGTTTGTTAGTGAGTATCAACCAGAAGAAAAAGCACAAAGTTACTAGTAAAGTACACGGATGATGATTACAGCACTAGTCTGTTTGGTAACTAGTGCTAGGTGTGGTGTTCATTTACAGTTTGATTTTATTAGTACAAAAACTCTGCTCTAACCTCGAGCTCTATATTTGGGACTTGTTTGCATGAGTGAATACTGAAAACTAAATGCTGGTCTAGATTTTATTTGGGGCCTAAACGGGGAAAATCTGTTAAATTTAATTTATAGTTTTCTAAAAACAATACAGAATCATATTTGAATAGCTGAAAATCACGATTAATACTTTAGCTGGTGTGATTGCAGTGACGTGGGTATAATGTTCCCTGTGCTGAGCCAGCTGGATGTGTTTGGGCTGGTGCAAGATAGCCAGCTGCCCTCTCTGAAGAGGGAGATGCCTCACGTGAGCATCAACTCCAGACCTTTTTCAAGCATCGCCCGGCCCACACCGGCCAGCAGGTTTGTTGGATCCACCAGCGACCGCACCATGTGGAACAAGAAGTGTCGACTGCGGTTTGGACTGTAACAACCATGGCTCCTTATTTCTTTAGTCCAGTTAGTTTGTAACGCAGAGAGTTTTGTCCTGCAAAATTCCAATGCATTCGGGTCTGACCTGGTGTGCAGTAATGGAACAATGTTTCAGTGTTTGCTGCTACAGAATATGCTTTCTAGCCTTGCTTGCACATTTGTGTGCTCTTAAATGCAGAGCACGCAAGCTTGTGAAGAAATGTCAGGGTTGTGAAGTGAAACGTTACATTGTTTTAGGTTCTAATAATGTGTTAATTCATTTAAAAAATGTATTGAGCATGGTTTACAAGGGGGTAAAGTGATTTAATTGGCTACTCTTATTAGTTTTGCTCACTAATATCTGGAAATCAGTAAATGCATAATGAAGGTATGTTAAGGAGGCATTTACTGTGCTGCCTAAATGATCACAGATCTTTTGATAAGCTTAATGATTTTAAAACGGCCTCTTCTATTTTAGAAAAGTCAAATATTGACTATCGTCCAAATAATTTTAACTTGTAATCCAACATTTATCAGTTGCATCCTTACCTCCAGCTGTCGACATATTTAACAATAAAAGTGTTTTGTGTGTGTCAGCTGTAAGAATGAGAGAACATTTGATTTTAATTGAACCAGTTTTAATGACAACTGATATATGTGGATCTGTCTCAACACATTGTTGCTAAAGAGACTACCTTTTATGGACTTCCAAATAATCTGTGTTGCTTGGAGTAATCCAAGTAGCTCAATAGTGTGGTTGTGTTTGCCCTCGTGTCAGCTTTAACTCTAGAGGAACATGTGAATGACTTATTTTCACCTCCGCGTCCTTTCTCATAAACCACTTTAAACTAAAAGCTATTGAATTTTTCTGTGGGATTTATTTAACTTAAGGAAACTTAAGATAAGGAAATGTACAGTTTGTGCCACATGTTTATGTAATGTTTGCCTCTGCAGCATCAGTGGATTATTAGATCAATAATGATGTTCAAATGTTAAGTTTGATTTAAGTTTTAAAAACTATTGCTTTTCCTGTAGAGAAATGAGTTGTTATACATTGTCCAGTTTTAAGGCTTAAAAGTATTTGGACAGTGAAGAAGTAAGCAGATATTTTAGATTTCTTGTACTAAACTTGGATTCGATTGCTACTTGTATGAACCGTCAGGAGTGAAGAGATGCGAATAAATTGAAAACCCTGAAAAATCATAAAAGACCTATTGGAGATCCCAAAAGGTTCATTCTGTTCATCTGGATCGTGTTTTCAATGTGAGAAATGTTTTCTCACTCATCCGAGTAACTTCTTCAGTCTCAACTGACTGCAGGTTTCCCCAACCATATAAACGGTACATTTACAACAGTGCATGTGCAGTTTATAAGGTTGGGGAAACCTGCACTCAGCTGAGACTGAAGAAGTTACTCGGATGAGTAACAAATAGGCCTCTGCTGTTTCCCATGATGCACTGAGTATTTCTTCTTTCCCTCTCTCTGTGCTTAGGAACCACTCTGCTCTCTGGTTCGGTTTACTTTCCCTCAGCCCAACCAGTTTCAGCAAATTGCTGCCTCTCCCCAAACAGTGTCAAAGGATTCTTCCTGTTAAAAGGGAGTTTTCTTTTCCCACTGTCAAAGTAGGAAAGGAACCACCGTTGGGGTTTTCAGTTTTCTCCGTAATATTGTAGGGTCTTTACAGTATAAAGCGCCTTTAGGCGACTGTTGCTGTGTTTTAGCGCTACATAAATAAAAGTGAACAGTGTACATTTGTGGGCATGGCATGAACTGTGACATACTTGCAGTGCTGACAGATGATTTTCTTGTGCAGTTACAGCAGACTGACTAAAATGGTACACTGTGCAGATGATTAAATGCACTGAGCATAACTAAATGTATCAAGGGCAAGGGAGGTTGCTGCAGACGGATAGTTTTTAGCATTTCTTCCAGCAGACAACTTCTCAAATCTGATTGGGGTTTTTTTTTTTTTTTTAAATTAAGGATGACTCCTCCCACAATTTGGACCATTATTTCAGCCTCCAAATTGTTAATTATTAAAAATGATAAATTTCCTGTTAAAGTCACAACGAAAAACAACCTGCTTGATACAATGAAGACAGGAAGGTAATAAGATGAGCTTAATGGGGGGGGAACAAAAGCAGCACACAGAAGCACTTGTAGTTCATATCACTTTATCGAGTTCCAAAACAAAACACATTCCAGTAGAGAGTGTTTCCATAGGGAAACTTGCCTTTGGCATGGTGCATGTTACACTTTGCAGATAACTTTTCAAACAGAACATGGTTTTTGCAAGAACGCTCCAAATCAAGAGATTTGTTGGGTTAAAAATAACTTTGTATCCATCAGATACTGTTTCACCTATAACTTTAGCCATGCCCACCACAGACAAGACTGTTTCCTGTCTTAGGAGGTGTCAAGAAACAGCCCCTTTAACTCTACCAGAGAAAAAAAACAAAAAACAACCCTTTAAACATGGAGTTCTCTTTGCTGCACTACATTTTTTTTTTCCTCTAAAACTTACCGTTCTGTGTGGCTCAGACAGCTAGGAAAAATAGACACTATATTCCAAAAATATCTTTACTCAGCAAGCCGCTGTGCTTCAAGTCCTCTGCATACATTTACAATTATAAAACTTACAGCGGAATTGAATATATGCTTGGAAAGAACAGGACTGATGAATCTAGATTTTTCTCTAGTGTTAACGAGGCCCTGAAACCAACAGAGAATGTCTCCTGGTAACAAATACTGTACCAAAGCCAGATGTAGCATATCCCACAGTTGGCCACAAACTTGCATTAGTGAATGTTCTTTCAATACCATCAAGACATCCTGTAGATTATTTCCCCCTCAATTTATAGGATAGTAGATAGTAGGATGAGTAGGAAATGTGGATTAATCCACCACTGAAGACAACTGGCTAGCTTATAGTATTGGCTGATAATAACTTAACATATCCAGTTATATATAGATATATATTTAAAATGGAGTGCTTTGAGTGGTCTGTAGGAACAGAAAAGAACTCCATGCTAGTTGTGCCATCAGTACATATGTCGAGTGTTAAAAAACTTTTGTTTTGGTGGGGTGTTTAAAAACCCTGTCACAGTTTGACCAGCAGGGGGCTTTGCTTCCACATTCCTCTTAGCACTGCGCATCACATGTAACAGGAACGCATCACAGAGCCAGACGGTTGTGCCAGTAAGTTACTAATCAGTTTGAAAATAAAAGGATATATATATATATAGAGAGATAGATAGATAGAGATAGATAGATTGGAGATGTAACATGGTAAAAAGCAAAAATTAAAAACTGAAATACCAATTGTCATTAGTATTTCAATAACATTCAATAACAATTGTGTTATTGTGTGGTTTTGTACATTTATGGTTACACTCTCCCCACGTTCTTGCACTTTTACTTCATCTTCAATTTCCCAGAAAGCTCCTCACATGAGTCAAGCATTTCATAATCAGCTCAAGTTATGCTATCAGTGGTGATAATCAGGAAGTCAAAGTGTGACACTGTCCTAATCGTAATGCATGTATAAAAAGAATCACCTGATGTATCAATATCAGAAGTTTGAACTCCTTAGAAATCTGCAGCCATGTTCTGTTTAAAGGGTTTTTGTGTATTCAGCAATAAATGATAAACTTGAGGCAGAGTAATTTGGATTTGTTGACAACAATAACTCTGAATAACTTTGCCCATATTCTTAAAGCTCACTCAGTAGTGTGAAACCTACTGAAAATCTTTGTCCTGTTTCAGTGTGGGGCAATATTCACAAACAGTTTGCTGGATCAGTGTAGCTTTTATGTCTGACGTTTCCAAAAGACTTCAGGTCTACAAAGAGTTTTTACATTCTTTCATCTTGGCCTTAGTTTCACTGCTCACTTTAGGGCTTGTGCTGATATACCGTAAATATAATCAGAAACTGTATCTAAATAAGGGATCATCTTTGTAGCTTGGAATATTGACACAAATATTAAAAATGAAAAGAAAGTGTAAATGGGTTTTGTTTGTAAAATATGTATAATAAAACAAAAGCAAAGGACAAATACTTCCCTTTGAACACATCCACTTGTGAACACTGTTAGCTTGAGAGATATTCAGACTTGTCTCAGTTTTCTAACACAACAGTCCGGAGCTGGTCCTCCTCGCTCATGCTGATTGTAGCGATAGCACCATCGTTGAATTCAAAGGAAGTCCCACCATCCACCACCATGCAAGCATCCCAACAGCGGGAGCGGACACACAACCTGAAGGCAGAAAAGAAGGAAAAAAACCCAAAACGATCAAAGGCTTCAGTTACAGCACAGACTCATCGACGTTCTGCTCTGCCTGAGACTGGTGATCACCACTGACTTTGTGGCAAAGCCTCTCTGTCGACTGCTGGAGAAGACCCTGTTCACGATGGGCTCCCTGACGCTGTAGAACAAACGGCTGTCATCTGGGCTGAACACCAGAGACTTGTTGTATTCCTCTGTAACTGATCACACAGGTGCAAGAGCAAGATAAAAAAAGGCTATAAAACTACACAAATCAACAATAATGACAAGAGAAATAGGAGCTCACCTTTTTCAATTAATTCTTGGTTAAGGGGGATATCCAGACCTGACTGGGATTTCCCTGGAAGAAAATAAAAAGGCATTTAGGAAACAAATTGGGTTTTATGCATGCAAGGACCAGTTACAATCTACAGTTCCAGAACAGTACAATAGAGGCCAAATATTATCTAATACATTTTGGATTCCAGGTAAGTGGGATCACTGCAGTTTGTTAACTTTTGTTTTGAAAATTTGGGAAGTTTAGCATTAACCTTACTGGGTGTGTTACAGTTTAAGTCAGCGGTCCCTAACCCCCGGGCGGGTCCGTGAGAGTTGCGGCTCAGGTGTGAAATGTATGGTTTTCAGCGTTGTTTTGTTATCGCTTTTATCGTTAACTCAGTTTTCCTGGGTCTTTTCACGTGTGTTATGAATAAATCTTCTTTTTTCGGTACCAGTACTAGTTTTACTTTGTTGTATTTATCCGCGACACCTTAAAGGCCAGTCCGTGAAAATATTGTCGGGCATAAACTGGTCCGCGGCGCAAAAAAGGTTGGGGAACGCTGGTTTAAGTGAAAGGTCCTCAGGATTACTAATAAAATAATACCAGGTTTTATTCTTTTTCTCCCCTCTTAATCCACATGCTGGTGGAAAGTGGACCTTTTGTACCTCCCCTTATTTTCTGTCATGAATGCTGTTCCAGTGGTGGACACCAGAGTTATTAGAGTTTTTCTTTTTCATATTTTATTGCTTTTAATTGAATTTAGTTTCAATCAGCTCCAGAGTGGAATGTTTAGTTTTATTCGTTTCAGTGTCTTTTAAATTATTATTCTATGAAGTGGAGAGTCAGAGGCAACATTTCTTGTAGGCAGGCAAGTACCAATAGAATCTTTACCAGACTAACACATACTAAAACTGAGGCTCTTTCCTTTAACAACATCATTTCAGTTGGTTTTAGCGTCAGTCTAGTTTTTATTTTCCATTTTTAGTTTTAGTTTTTATCTTACTTAACAATAATAATAACCATGGGTGGATACTCAGTGTTACCCCTGTCCACAGCTTTAAGTTATGAGGTAAGTGTATGTGCTTTAGCCCTAAAAACTCCAGACAATTTAGTATGTATGGATCTGTTTGACACTCGAATGTGCAGTATGTTTACCTCAGGCACACAGCTCTGGGTAATGTTACACCCACCTGCTGTTTAAAGCTCCTGCTTACAAGGGTCAACTAGAAAAAGATGGTTAAAGGGAAGGGTGGCTTTAGCAGCAGAACTGCCAAGAGGTCATTAAAAAACAAAAATCATATAACTCTAAATAAAGAGATAAAATCTGAACTTCATATTTAGTCAGTTTGTGATAAATAAATTTAAAAAATCATCAATATATCATTACAGTTTTATTCATCACAGTGAATTTTGGGGTGTGTCAGAGCAGTGGGGGAACCATAGGTGAATTGAGGAGGTGAAGGGCTTCAGACCGAGTGGTTGACAGTGAGTAAGAGAGCGGCTGCATCGGGCAAATAAAGAAAGTGGTCTTTTTCTTTTTCAAATATACACAAATTGTTTAGATTGACAACCAGGCAAATGGAACTACACATTCTTCTTGAGAGTTTAGGTGTTACTATTTTGCTGCATTTGCTGATAAGGAACATTAAGACAGACACATCTTGCAAGTCTCTGCCTGCTACTCTGCAAAGTTATGATGATATCTGCGTAGGGATGGGTATCGAAAACCGGTTCTTGTTGAGAACCGGTTCCCACTGTTTCAATTCCTTGGAATCGTTTGCCATTTTTGCAAACGATTCCCTTATCGATTCCAGTCGCCCCGAATGACGTCACCACGTTGCGGAACATAATTTACCTGGCAGGAAACACGGCGCCTAAGCAGCTCAAACGCTCAAAAGTTTGATTATACTTTACAAGAACGGATGACAACAGGGCAACTTGCAATACTTGCAAAGTAGATATTTCATTTAAGGGAGGAAACACTACGAATATGCAAAAGCATTTGCTCACAAAACACGCGATGACCTTAAATGAATGTCGTGTTTTTAATTCCGCTCCTGACTCGTGAATCTCAACCCAGCAGCAGCGGTAACGTTTGCACGTCCTCTCCCGTTAATGCGGCAGGTAAATAATCAACTAACAGTGCATATTATGTTAGCGCGATCTGCCTTA